ACACCTTAACAACTGCACAGCAACATCCTGGCAACCACCCACAAAATTCTGTCAATGGGATGGCAACTTTTGCATGGGCATTTTAAGGTGAAGGTGTCTCTAGATGGGCCAACATTGAGCGGTGGTGTTCATGCGTCATCACCTATTCCTGATCCTCCTCCTTCCTTCCAACATTTCCTGTACTCTCTTTACTCTCCTATAAATAATAAAAAAGGCCAAAAATAACACTCAAAATGTAGTTTTACAATTGCATGAAGAGCACAAGACGATGCAGTAAAAGCTTCAGCGCTGCAGCTGTGGCCGTCTCATCTTCTTACTTGAACATGCTGTGCCTTTCACCTGTACACATGGCACAATGCAGTCTCTCTGTCTCTCTCTCTGTCTGTCTGTCTGTCGGCCAGAGCTGCAGTGGGCTAAGGTTAGTTTACACTCCCCCTCAGCGCATCCAGCCGCCACTCTGCCCGGCCCTGTTTGCCTCTGTCATATTTCTCGTTTGCTCGTTATAAATGGGAGCCGCTCCTCTGATCTATTGCTTAATTGCCACCTAATTTGCATAACAGTGCAAATTAACGACCTCTCAAATGAGCGTTCATTTTTCACAAGGTCTTTAGGAGCTCCTTAAGAGGCGGTGCTAATTAGCACAGGAGGCAGCTGCGCTGATGAGCCGGGGAGCAGGCGAGAGGAGGGCGTGCCGGTAGGACGTATCGCCACGGCAACAGCCTTCTTCCTCCCAGAGTGAAGTCATCTGCGGAGACTTCTTTTGTCCTCGGCCCTGCGTTTCACCTGAGTGCACCGAGCTGGTAGAGTGTGTTCTCACCTGCGTGATCTTGTTTGACCGGTCTCTGCGTGTCGAGCGAAGCCTGTTGTATGCCGCTCTGGTCTATGAAATGCTAGTTGAGTTAATTAAGAGCTGATAAATGACAAGTTGGAGCAGACGGCATGTTTGCCTAAGGTAGGAGCGCTATTCACACCCTAATCGTATCCTCCTCTGTGGACGCTGACCAATGGCCGCTCTTCACAGGGCGTGGACGAGCCCATGTGTGCGTGCCACTGGGTGCCTCTAAATAGGCCCCGCAGACGCCGCTTAACCTGAGCTGCTAACAACAGGAACTTACCAGTGGATTTTGTGGCTTTATACCACCCTGGCACTCGCTCAAGAAGCTCTCCTCTCGTAGTTTCTCATAAGACGCGAATCCCGCCACATGTGCTGGCAGACGCATTCTCTGCAATGTTGTCAGCATTTTCTTTTGGTTTCTGGGTTTGTCCGAATCTTTGGGCATGTGTTGTCATTCCCTGCCTAAGTTGCTTAAGTGATTTTGGCAACTATTAACCCTTGTAGCTTTACCAGATTCTGTGTCTGAAGTTAGGGCTTGTTTTGGGCTCTGTTTTTTAGTTTTTATGAAGCCAACACAGCTGCAGGTCCTTTTAAGAGGTGAGGTGCGTTTGGATCTGCAGTTGGACGGCGACTTACATTTTAATGTGCGTGAAAAGCTCTGCGTTTCCTTAGAATTCACAACAGGAACGACTAGTGCTCATTAAATATGCATGTGTTGTGATTTCAGGAAGTATTTCTATAAAACTTTCAGAAATATGCTTTAGTCAGGCTCAGGAATTTAAATGAACAGAGTGCTTAACAAAATCAAGATGTTAGGGTGTTTTATTTTTATTTATTTTTTTTTACTGTTTTCCGTCAAATGATTTTATCGAATGTCTTCAGCAAACCAACCAATACCACAAAATCTCACAGAAGTCATTGAAAGAAGTCTCAAATGTTCACCAAGGCTATGTTTATTTGATACATCAAAAAATACCGTAAAACAGAAATATTATGAAATACTGTTATGATTTAAAATAACTGTTTTCTATTTTACAGTTTTAAAATGTAATTAATTCCTGTGATGCAAAGCTGTATTTTCAGCATCATTACTCCAGTCTTCAGTGTCACATGATCTTCAGAAATCATTCTAATATGCTGATTTAATGCTCAAGGAACAGTCCTTATTATTAATGTTGAAAACAGGTGTGCTGCTTAATATATTAAACACCATTTTTTTTTAAACAGACCTTTGCCAAATAAAAGTGTTAATTTCTGTAAATAATTGACATCAATTAAAACAATGTTCCCCAAAAACGCAGGAGAAAGAATCAAATGAAGAAGCACATCTAGTATTTACACAGTATATGAAGGGTGTGTGAGATGGGGACATGAAAATGCACTGCGTAAAGTAGGAATGACCCTCGTATTTCACTTCGACTGTAATGGCACTGCAGTCGTTTTTGTTTTGAAGATAAATTCCCCTTTTTTTACATCCCACTTAGCTCTCAGGTTAGCATGTTTGTTTGCGTCCATGTGGGCGTGCTTTTCAGCACGCACAGATCCCTCCCCCGTCGCGTTTGCCTTCCTCCTTTTGATTTATTGGCTGTTGTGGTCAGAGCGTTGTCATTTCCTAAGTGTCGCCCCACACTCGTTTGCAGCCCACTGCGATCATCTTTCGCGTTCTCTCGTTCACGCTCTCCCTGCCCCCTCCATTTTTCCATCTCTGTCTGCTCTCCTCCTCGCTATTTTATCTCCTCCTGCGACTCCCTTTTGCTGCTTTCCCCCCACAGTTCTCCTCTTTTTCTCTCCTTACCTTCTCTTCCCCCCTTCTGCTCCCTCGCTCTCCCAGTGAAAGGCTGAGAATACCCAAGGGAGCTGATGCAATTAAAATGCTAATCCTGTCTGTCTACAGAGAGAGGTAGAGGGGGGGCTGACAGCATGAGGGATTGCGGCTCACATGGAGAACTCGACTGAAATGGAGAATATATTAATATAATACTATATATAAATATATTTAATATTTAAGCATAGCATATTTTTCTGAAATATATACTTGCATCTGTATGTATTTATATATAGATAATAAATATACACATTACACACACATATATTATGTAAACAAAATCTATTATTTTGGATGTGATTAATCGTTTGACAACACTAATTAATTTAGTAATTACATTTTCTACAAGAATGAACAATGCAGAGTTTAAAGTTATTAATAAAATGGGGGCAAAAATGAAAATTACACTAGTTTTCACATTTCAAATGTCTTTTTTTATTTAATTTTTTTGTCTTTTGTTTTAAAGTCTAACCATCGAATGAATGCATGAAATCTTATGCTACAGTGTTATTTTCTATTGTCCCTGTGAAATTAATAAATAGTTTGACTTCATAGCGCATATGAAACAACAGTATACTATGCTCACATGGTGTTACTCACAAAAATAATCTTACTGCCGAAATCACTTTGAATCAAACTTAATGTACTTGAGAAAAAGTGATCTTCATTTTTGTTTGACTTTGGGGAGTTTTGCTGGCTGGAAAAGCGAGAGGTAAAGAGAGGGAAAGAGGGTGGGATGGTGAATCGGGGTCATTAGTTCAGGCTGCTGGGTCTGCTGCATTCCTGAGCTCAGAGAGGGGGAGAAACGAAAGATGGAATGTGACTCCGAGAGAAAGAAAGAGGGAGGACCTGAGTGGAGGGACCCTGAAGGGGCAAGAGAGAACAAGAAAAAAAGAGTTGCTTGCCAAGGGAAAGAAAAGTTTTCAAAAAGAACGAGGGGGGAAAAGAGAGAGAGAGCTGGAAACAAATTCTGTGCTGTTATTGGGGGAGGGTATGAGCTGAAGTCATTAAATGTGTTATCAGTTAAAGGGAGGATGGGAAATACAGCTTTGATTTCAGCGGGGATGGTACAGACAGAACATCCACAGATGTAGTGCTGATTGCTTCCAACAAATGGCCTTTTAGTTGCACTATCTGTGTTTGAAAGTTTCTCTTTCTTTCAATTCACTAACAAAACATACCCGATGCAGCATTGGAGTCTCCGATCACTGTGCTGCTTACGTACAACTATTCAGATCTACTCGAAGCATTCTCTGGAGAGCTTCTTTTAATCTGTTTAACCCTTATGATCTAAAAGATTTACCTAAAATTTACATGAGATATTCCTTCGAGTAAGGTTTATAGTTTGGAAACATTTAGCAGAATGTCCAAGATCTTCTGCAAAAAGGTTTTTCAGTTTTGGAACGACACGAGTGAGACTAAATGACGACGGTTTACATTTTTAGGCTCCTTTTTGTTATTTGTATTACATTTAAATGATCGTTTTCTACATTTCCTTAAAAAAGCAACACCTTTTTATGTTATTTAATGTGCCATTGGCATTTCCGCCACATTCTCACACACCACTTGGGGTTCATGAAACTGTGGTCTAGAGGAAAGACAAAGACCCTCGGTGTCATGTATTTTTGTGTTATCTATCTTACACTTTGCCCTCAGTCACCTGTGTGTGCATATGTATGGGAGTGTAGATGAGGTGCTCGTATAGGTGTGAGCGATGGCCCCATAGCAGGAAGTTGACAGAGGTCTTGCTTTAATTCAGTGCCAGAGAGGTGTGTACTTATGGCTGCTTGTGCTTGTAGTGACAGCACATGCTCTCCTATTATTGGACCTGTGCCTCCAACCTGCCACTGAAGAACCATACTGCCCTCTGCTGCCTCAGCCAGGAATTGCACACTTAATGTAATTGTGTGTGTGTGCGTGTGCGCGTTTTTGTGACAAATGAGGACATAAATTTGTATAATGACAAAGGTATGACATAGGTATTACAAGGAGAAGGTGACTTTTCAGGACATTACCCCATGTCCCCACTTTTCAAAATGCTTATAAATCACACAGAATGGAGTGTATTGAAAATCTGAAATAGCACAAAGTTTCCTGTGAGGGGTAGGTTTAGGGGTAGGGCTGGTGTAGGGCAATAGAATATACGGTCTGTACAGTATAAAAACCATTACGCCTATGGGATGTCCCCACTTTTCACAAAAACAAACCTGTGTGTGTGTGTGTGTGTGTGTGTGTGTGTGTGGCATAGGGAAAGGAAGTACCCTTAACTCTACCTCGTGTGAAGTGACTGGTTTCTGAACGCTCTCCATCAGATTGACCCTTGTTTTGTCTTCTGCAGTGCTGAGCATCAGAGGTGTACAGGAGGAGGACCCTCCAGATCCCCAGATCATGCGTCTGGATAACATGCTGCTGGCCGAGGGAGTGTCTGGGCCTGAGAAGGGCGGCGGGTCAGCAGCGGCGGCCGCAGCTGCAGCAGCGGCTGGAGGATCACCTAACGACGGCAGCATCGAGCACTCCGACTACAGAGCCAAACTCGCACAGATCCGCCAGATCTACCACTCCGAACTAGAGAAATACGAACAGGTGAGAAACAGACACCCGTCTGACCTTTATTAAAGTCCCCATGAAATCAAAATTAAAGTGTTTTGGGTGTTAGTATCAATATGTTAGTCTTAAGGTTATCTACAAGGTAGTGTGCTCCAAAACGGTGACAAAATTTGCATTTAGAAGATATAAGCATTCAAAGCTTGCAGTTCGTCACTTCCGTCAAAACGGCTCAACGATTTTTTTTTGACGTCACATCGTACTTCAGCTAGAATCCGAAGCGCCCGCCCCCTGCACTATAAAATAGACGCTGAAGCCGCGGCTGAAATCGGTCACTTGTCCACAGAATTTGTATTTTCTGTACAGTGAATGGCACGTAGTACACTATATAGGGGACAGGGAACGATTCAAACAGTGTAAATATGCTTTCCATTGAGGAAAAGAAGAAGTCTTGTTTCGCGCTGTGTCACGCTAACCACCACACACTACACTCTGCTCCGGTCCAAAGACACGATAGCACGGAGCGGATCACATGCGCGAGTTGGCGCAGACCACAAAATGTATCGGAGCTATTTGAATTCTACACAGAATGCTATATTTTATAGCAATATGGATGAGATTGTGGCTGGCATACCCT